AAAATCACGTGACCTCACAAAATGTTATTTATCCTCTCATATTATTTAAAATGATTTAAAGACCTTATGCCGGGTTTGATTTATTTAGAAATACAGTTTTAATACCATTTTATATTAGAAGAGAACTACTAAAGGTTTCAAAATCAGTTGTTTTTTTTTTGTCTGATCCCCCCAAATCGAAATAACCCCATTCAGATTCAGATTCAGATTCATTTATTAGCCATGTGCAGTATAAAAACTATATTGGAATACATTTGCAAAAAAAGGTACTCTGTGTGCACCAACAGAATAAAAAGCACGATACAATGTAATATAAAATAATAAAAAAACAGCTGACACTGTGGCACCGATCAACAAAACGATACAAGGGGTAAAAGCAGGAATTAAAGTGCTCTGTTTAGGCACCTAACAGCCTGTGGAAAGAAGCTGTTAGCATAGCGCGATGTCTTGCATCTCAGCGACCGATATCTTCTGCCAGAGGGAAGAAGCTGGAACATGGCTTTCCCAGGGTGGCCAGAAGAGTCATTGACAATCCTAAGAGCTTTGTTTAAAAGTCTGGATTTGTAAAGAACCTCCAGAACAGGAAGCTCACAGCCCACGGTCCTCTTTGCAGAGCGGAGCACCTTGTTTAAAGCTCTCTTTTCTTTATCTGTGATGTTTCCAAACCACACAGACACAGAACCAACAAGTAAACTCTCAATGGTGCAGCCATAAAAGTTAAGCACAATCTTAGAGTTAGTGGTAAATTCTCTAAGTTTACGCAGAAAGTAGAGACGCTGACGAGCTTTCTTTACGACCCAGTCAGTGTTTTTAACCCATTTCAGGTTAGACAGAGTTAAACCCAGAAACTTGCACTCCTCTACGATCTGCACCTGGGAGTTGTCGATAACTACAGGAGTGTGAGAACTGCTACGACTGAAGTCAAAGACAAGTTCACATGTTTTTGCAGTGTTCAGCTGGAGATTGTTTACTTTACTCCACTGAAAAACATGTTCGATCTCTGCTCTATAAGAGGATTCATCAGTGTTACTGATGAGACCGATGATGGTGGTGTCATCAGCATATTTGATGATCAAGTTAGAGTCAGAGGAGGACACACAATCGTGAGTGTACAAAGTAAAAAGCAAAGGACTCAAAATACATCCCTGAGGAGAACCAGTGCTCACAGAAACAACATCAGAAAAACACTCATTGATTTTTACTCTCTGAGATCTGTCAGTTAAAAAGCTAAAAATCCATCCAATCCATCCGCTGGTACTGGATTCGGCTCAGGAGATCATCCGACTTGTTCGGGAGAGACTGAACGTTCGCCAGGTAAATGGGTGGCAGTGGGACCCTGGGGGCGCGACTCCGCATGAGAAGCCCGCCTCGCTTTCCCCGGTGTCTGCGCTTCCTCCGTCGGCGAGAGACACCCGGCTCCGCACGGTGGTGAACACGGGGGAGGCGCCCGGCCTCATCGCCCTGTTTCCAGTCTCTGTCGCGGTCCGCACGCCGCTCTCCTCGAGCTGGGCACTCGTGAAAGCCATCGCACCTCAGAGCAGGCAACACTGGCTCACAGGCCAAGTCCCGTATGTCCATAAGAGTCTGTCGATCGTACACCACAGTGGCAAGTGTTTTGTGAAAGGATAAAAACAGCATAAAAATCACGGTGCACAACGGAGCTCTTGCAGCGGCGCCCTGGCACGACGAAAAAACTTCACAGCCCTTGGTGATGTCAGAGTGGGTACGTTTCAACGCTGTAAGTTGTTTACAATTTGGTATTCGTTCTTTTTTCGCGGATATTCAAGATGACAAGGCCGTGTACAGCGAGTCTGAGATAAATACTAGAATGTGATTCTTCGTTGTCTCTGAGATAGTCCAGTGGTTGTGTCGATGCACTGCCAATCCAGAAACTGGGGTTCAAATCCCACCTCGGACACTTTTTCACTCTCAAACGGCAATTTATGTGTAGTGAGCAATTGTCACCTGTAGAGGGCAGTATTGTGTTGGGCATCAGTGGAGAGAAGAGAGAAAAGGCAGTCCTGTGGCATAGATCCATGGTTTTCAATGCATGGGCGTAACCCGCTATGACGTCACACACAGGTTAGAGCATAGACAACTTAAATTCATGAAAAACACCTTCTTTTTATAAAATATAGGATTTTTTTTGCCAGAATCTCTTTCAGATTGACGTTGTCATGCAATTTTGATATCCACAATTTTTTTTTTTTAAACCCGTCATAAGGTCTTTAACCACGGAATTTTATGTGGGTTACACATACATACATACATACAGTACATACCTATAAATACATACATACAAACAAATACATATACATACACATACATACATACATACATACATACAGTACATATCATAGACTGTATATATTAACGGATGTAGTCACGCCTATCTCCGCCGTTCTAACTAATGGGCCAAAAATTTGGCTTTCATGGAGTGATTCAAAATGGCCGCGGGGGCTGGAAAATGTGAAAAAAACGCATCTGTGCATGCGTTAGCTGCACGAGCTCCATTCATTTAAACGAGTGCCTTCAAAAGTCCACAGCGACTAAACTAGACTGGTCCAAAACACTCCCTCAGCATTGACACACATGTGGAACGGAGCTTTGGGTTAGGGTCCTGTAAAGACGGTTTCCAGAGGTAAGAAGATGCTATATGTTGTGGGAACACTTCTCAAAACACCAATGGCCAGTCAAAAAAAACACTGTTTATCCAGTTTATTTCCCCAGTGCTATTTACAAACATGTGAAAAAAACAATATATGTACATATTTACAAATGTACATAAGTTGTGTACATAACCTTTCGGAATGCCAGGATACCACAATAGCCTGATGTTGCCCTCTCTGCAACCAGGCACAGACTCCCTGTACAGCCCAAACAGCTCCCCTCTTATGCCCCAAGCCCCTCCCACGGGCGTTGACACAAAATAGTTAATATAATTTTACAAAACAACCCTTTCTGATTGAAACTCCTCTCAAATTATCAATAGTATTATTTCAACATACCTCCCCTTTAATTCCCTTCCATGAAAATGGGAGATATCATTAAACAAAGGAACATTAAACAAACAAAGCGTAACCCCAGTATAAATGGCATAGCCAAAGATGCGCTCGGTTTGCCCGGTCACCTGGTACTACGTACGCGGTCACCTGGTACTACGTACGCGGTCACCTGGTACTACGTCATTTTGGCCACTTTTTTAGCCGGGACTCGCCCCACATACATACAGGACATATACACGCATACAGTACATACATGCACACTTACAGTACATACACATACATACATACATACATACATACATACATGCACACATACAGTACATATACATACATACATACAGTACATATACATACATACATACAATACATATACATACATACATACATACATACACACATACACACACTTACATACATACATACATACATACACACATACATACAGTACATATACATACACACACACATACATACAGTACATATACATACACACACACTTACATACGTACATACATACATACATACATACATACATACATACTGTGAGAGCCAAAGCAGTTAAAAAAAAAGTGTTTAATTTAAAGTTAAAAATATATAGTTTTTTGTCAATCAGATTATATGTTAAAAATGGTTAAAACCCTAGAAAGTTAAACGGTTACAATTCTTAAGTTAAAGAAAGATTCTAAAATGTAATAAGTTACTATAATTCTCATAATGATTAAAGACTGTAAAAAGCTATTGCAAATATCTAAGTTTAAAAACAGGTAGAGCAGCTTTAAAATCAGAGACACTCCCATTATTTAGACTGCTCTGATGTCATCAGTCTGAGTGCAGGTGTGGGACCATGTTGGACCATGTGGGACCATGTGGGACCATGGGAGAACACAGATTTTCTACCTGCAAACTGGAGGACTGTAATGTTAATTTTCTATTATTATTTTTGTTCAATAAATGGACTTAAACAGAGTCTCCCTGGTCTCAGTGTCAGAAGAACTTTGGCACCTGGCTCACTGTGGCTGTCTTTAAATGAGCCACCACACACACACACACACACACACACACACACACACACACACACACACACACACACACACACACACACACACACACACACACACACACACACAGTCGTGCTCAAGTGTCACAGAGATCTGACTTTTTTTACATTGAAAACACAGAGAGTAAAGTGTCACAATGAACACATGACTAAACCATGTGACTGTTGTTCATAAACACTGGTGTCAGAACTTATTATTCTGAGACAGTTTCATTCACACAAAGACCTGCTTTTGAGGAATTAACTTTTCATTTTGAGAAAGTGACTTTTGTAGGTTTTACAGTTTGTACTAATTGTTCTGAGAAATGTGAAGAATGAGAAATGCACCAAAGACACAGAAAAACATGTTACAGATGAACACATGTTACAGATGAACACATGTTACAGATGAACACATGTTACAGATGAACACTTGTTACAGATGAACACATTTTACAGATGAACACTTGTTACAGATGAACACTTGTTACAGATGAACACATTTTACAGATGAACACTTGTTACAGATGAACACTTGTTACAGATGAACACTTGTTACAGATGAACACGTGTTACAGATGAACACGTGTTACAGATGAACACGTGTTACAGATGAACACGTGTTACAGATGAACATGTGTTACAGATGAACACGTGTTACAGATGAACACTTGTTACAGATGAACACTTGTTACAGATGAACACTTGTTACAGATGAACACATTTTACAGATGAACACATTTTACAGATGAACACTTGTTACAGATGAACACGTGTTACAGATGAACACGTGTTACAGATGAACACGTGTTACAGATGAACACGTGTTACAGATGAACACGTGTTACAGATGAACACTTGTTACAGATGAACACTTGTTACAGATGAACACATTTTACAGATGAACACTTGTTACAGATGAACACGTGTTACAGATGAACACGTGTTACAGATGAACACGTGTTACAGATGAACACATTTTACAGATGAACACTTGTTACAGATGAACACTTGTTACAGATGAACACATTTTACAGATGAACACTTGTTACAGATGAACACGTGTTACAGATGAACACGTGTTACAGATGAACACATGTTACAGATGAACACTTGTTACAGATGAACACTTGTTACAGATGAACACATTTTACAGATGAACACTTGTTACAGATGAACACATTTTACAGATGAACACTTGTTACAGATGAACACGTGTTACAGATGAACACGTGTTACAGATGAACACATTTTACAGATGAACACATTTTACAGATGAACACTTGTTACAGATGAACACGTGTTACAGATGAACACGTGTTACAGATGAACACGTGTTACAGATGAACACATGTTACATATGAACACTTGTTACAGATGAACACATTTTACAGATGAACACGTGTTACAGATGAACACGTGTTACAGATTAACACATCTTACAGATGAACACGTGTTACAGATGAACACGTGTTACAGATGAACACTTGTTACAGATGAACACGTGTTACAGATGAACACGTGTTACAGATGAACACGTGTTACAGATGAACACGTGTTACAGATGAACACGTGTTACAGATGAACACGTGTTACAGATGAACACTTGTTACAGATGAACACGTGTTACAGATGAACACGTGTTACAGATGAACACGTGTTACAGATGAACACGTGTTACAGATGAACACGTGTTACAGATGAACACATGTGTGTTACTGATGAACACATGTTACAGATGAACACATGTTACAGATGAACACATGTTTCTGTTCCAGACTCACTGCAGTCACAGCACAGAGACAGAGACCAGGAGAGGGCGCCACTGTGCAGACTCTTCCCATCCATCATCTGAGGACCTCCTCTCCCTCCAGGACCTCCTTCCCCTCCAGGACCTCCACCCCTTCCAGGACCTCTTCCCCCTCCAGGACCTCCTCTCCCTCCAGGACCTCCTCCCCCTCCAGGATTTCCTCTCCCCCCAGAACCTCGACCTCCACCCCCTCCAGGACCTCGACCTCCACCCCCTTTAGGACCTCCAGGACCTCCAACCATCACCTGAGGACCTCCACCTCCTCCAGGACCTTCTCTCCCTCCAGGACCACCACCCTCTCCAGGACCTCCACATCGTCTCCCTCCAGGACCTTCACATCCTCTCCCTCCAGGACCTCCACCCTCTACAGGACCTCCAGGACCTCCACATCCTCTCCCTCCAGGACCTCCACCCTCTCCAGGACCTCCACATCCTCTCCCTCCAGGATCTCCACTTCCTCCGGGACCTCAACCTCCACTGCCTCCAGGGCCTCCACCACCTTCAGGACCTCCCCTGCTTCCAGGACCTCCACCCTCTCCTTTCCCTCCAGGACCTCCTCTCCCTCCAGGACCTCCTCTCCCAGCAGACCCATCACTACTGAACGCCCAGGTAACTGATTTCACTGCATTTGGATGTGTGACATGTAATAGACACATGTTCAGAATTAGAATCAGAATCATTTTTATTGCCACGTAAGTAACAGGAAGTCACAGACTAGGAAATTGCTTTGGCTCAGTGCAACAGTCAGAAAGAGATAATAAAAATAAGAATAAAAAACACTTCTAAAGAATAAATTTAAATTTAAAATAGAGTTACAGTTACTATTTACAATATACAAGTGCACATGGTGCACACAATGTAAGGTGACAGCAGTACAGTGAAGTAAAGTGACGTATGATGGGCAGTAAAGTGACTTTATAAAGGGCGGGGGGACAGGTTAAGAAGTGTTCAAGAGTCCAACAGCAGAGGGGAAGAAACTGTTCTTGTGGCGGGAGGTTCTAGTCCTGATGGACCGCAGCCTCCTGCCTGAGGGGAGTGGTTGGAATAGTCCATGTGCAGGTGAGAGGGGAGTGGTTGGAATAGTCCATGTGCAGGTGAAAGGGGAGTGGTTGGAATAGTCCATGTGCAGGTGAGAGGGGAGTGGTTGGAATAGTCCATGTGCAGGTGAGAGGGGTCGGCTGTGATACGACCAGCCCGGCCTCGAGCTCGGGCGACGTACAGGTCCTGCAGCGATGGAAGGCTGCGGCCGATCACTTCCTCTGCAGAGCGCACAATGCACTGTAGTCTGTTTGTCCCTGACTGTGGCTCCAGCGAACCACACGGTGATGGAGGAGGTGATGGAGGAGGTGATGGAGGAGGAGATGGAGGAGGTGATGGAGGAGGTGATGAGGAGGTGATGGAGGAGGTGATGGAGGAGGTGATGGAGGAGGTGATGGAGGAGGTGATGGAGGAGGTGAGGATGGACTCGATGATGGCCGTGTAGAACTGCAGCTTGGCTTTCCTGAGCTGCCGCAGGAAGTACATCCTCTGCTGGGCCTTCTTGATGAGGGAGCTGATGGTCGGCTCCCACTTGAGGTCCTGGGTGATGGTGGTGCCCAGGAAACGGAAGGACTCCACAGAGGTGATGGGGGAGTCCATCACGGAGGGTGGGGGCGGGGGGGGACAGTGCTCTTCCTGAAGTCCACAATCATCTCCACTGTCTCCTGGGCGTTCAGCTCCAGGTTGTTACCACTGCACCAGGACACCAGCCGGTCCACCTCCCTCCTGTAGGCGGACTCATCGTTGTTGGAGATGAGTCCAATGAGGGTGGTGTCGTCAGCTAACTTGATCAGCTTCACAGAGTCGTGGCTGGAGGTGCAGTGGTTGGTGTACAGGGAGAAGAGCAGGGGAGAAAGAACACAGCCCTGTGGGGCTCCTGTATTTATAATCCGAGAGTCCGAGACATTCTTCCCCAGACGCACTCGCTGCTTCCTGTCCGTCAGGAAGTCAGTGATCCACCTGCAGGTGGAATCGGGCACGTTGAGCTGGGAGAGCTTGTCCTGGAGCAGGGATGGCAGGATTGTGTTGAAGGCAGAGCTGAAGTCCACGAACAGGACCCTGGCGTAGGTCCCCGGGGAGTCCAGGTGCTGTAGGATGTGGTGGAGGGCCAGGTTAATGGCGTCGTCTACAGATCTGTTGGCTCTGTAGGCGAACTGCAGGGGGTCCAGGAGGGGGGAGGTGAGGGACTTGAGATGGGAGAGAACCAGGCGTTCAAATGACTTCATGACGACAGACGTAAGTGCTACAGGTCTGTAGTCGTTGAGTCCTGTGATCCTGGGCTTCTTCGGGACGGGGACAATGATGGAGGATTTGAAGCAGGCCGGGACATGGCAGGACTGCAGAGAGGTGTTGAAAATGTCCGTGAACACAGGAGTAAGCTCACTGGCGCAGTGTCTCAGAGTGGCCGGAGACACGTGGTCCGGGCCAGGAGCTTTGCGGGGGTGCAGCCTCAAGAAGAGTTGTTTAATCTCTTTAGCGGCTATTGTTAGGCTGGGGGCAGGGCTGATGGGTGGGTCGTTAGAGTAGTGGGGGGTGGGGGAGGTGTGAGGGGCAGCATCAAAGCGACTGAAAAATAAGTTCAGTTCGTCAGCTAGCTTGTGGTCGTCAGCACAGGGGGGGGGGCTTTGGGTTTGTAGTTGGTGATCTCCCGTAGGCCCCTCCAGACAGAAGCAGTATCGTTGTTACCAAACTGCTCCTGTAGTCGTTCTCTGTGCCGGGACTTGGCTGCTTTCAGTTCTTTCCTGAACTGATATTTAGCTGCTTTGTAGCCGCTGCGGTCCCCCTCCCTGAAAGCAGAGTCCTTTGCTTTCCTGAGCTGCCGGAGTTTAGCAGTGAACCAGGGTTTGTCGTTGTTATAGATGACCCTGGTCCTTGTTGGAATGATGCTATCCTCACAGAAGTGGATGTATGACGTCACAGTGTCCGTGTATTCATCCAAGCTGTCTGTGGCAGCTCTGAAAAGGTCCCAGTCTGTAGATTCCATGCATGCAGCTCTTCCACAGCTTCATCAGACCACACTTTGGAGCTCCTCACTGCAGGTTTCGAGAGCTTTAGTCTCTGTCTGTAAGCAGGAACCAGATGTATCATGGAGTGATCTGAGAAGCCGAGGGCTGGCTTGGGAACAGCGCGAAAAGCTCCGCGCACGGTGGTGTAGCAGTGATCCAGAGTGTTCTCCTCTCTGGTCGGGCATTTGATAAACTGTCTGTATTTGGGTAATTCCTGGCTCAAGTTTCCCTTATTAAAATCCCCCAGGATAATAATCAGAGTCCGGGTATAAACGTTCCATACACAGAACTTGCTCTGCGTCCGCGCATGGCGGTATGTAAACAGAGGCAAGAATGAATGAAACAAACTCACGAGGGGAGTAAAATGGTTTACAATGAATGAAAAGATATTCCAGAGCAGGAGAGCAGTGCTTGGAGATCACTGTCACATGGTTACACCAGTTTGTATTGACGTAGAAACACAGCCCTCCGCCTCTGCTCTTCCCTGAGAGCGCACAATGGCGATCCGCGCGGAACAGCCCAAAGCCCTGCAGCTCCAGAGCACAGTCCGGGATCCGCTCATTTAGCCAGGTCTCAGTGAAGCAGAGGACACAGGATGAAGTCCTTGTTTCTTCTCATGAGCAGGCTGAGTTCGTCTTATTGCCCAGTGAGCGTACGTTGGACAGAAAAATGCCTCAGACGCACGAGCAGCCTCCACGCTTTCCCCTTTTACAGCCCCACACTTTTTTGGCTAGAACATGAACTAAATCAGCCGCAGATGCCAAGAAAACAGGCAATAGGTCCATGGGAACGGTGGGTCGGATGTTCATAAGTTCCTCACGGGTGTAGGAACAGCCAGATGCGCAGTTATAGACACGCGTGTTATAGACACGCGTGTTATAGAAACGTGTTATAGACACATGGGTTTTTTAAAAGTTATTGTAGGGACAGTACAAAAAAAACATTGTCACCCACAGGTAACCGATGTCAAGTCCACAGGGCTTCTAGCCAAAGGCTAATCTGCAGCCCCCGTCCCTGGTTAGGCTTTTGGAGAACAGTGAAGAAAACACTTTAAGAAAGAGGGGAGAAAAGAACAACAACACATTAATAAAAGAATAACTGGCCCCATTTGTCCAAACTAGATACAGTTTTAGTGCTCACACTTCTGATTTTTCAGTTTTGTGGAGAAAAGTCTCACGTCTGACTGTGACTTCAGCTCCAGTGGCAAAGAGTTCCACAGATGTGAGGCCTTCACTGAGACTCACCCAGAGTCGTCCGGCACCTTCTCACTCTGCAGCTCCCGCTGACAGCAGCTCCCACAGACAGCAGCTCCCGCTGACTGCAGCTCCCGCTGACTGCAGCTCCCGCTGACAGCAGCTCGCGCTGACTGCAGCTCCCGCTGACAGCAGCTCGTGCTGACTGCAGCTCCCGCTGACTGCAGCTCCCGCTGACTGCAGCTCCCGCTGACTGCAGCTCCCGCTGACAGCAGCTCGCGCTGACTGCAGCTCCCGCTGACAGCAGCTCCCGCTGACAGCAGCTCTCGCTCACAGCAGCTCGCGCTGACTGCAGCTCGCGCTGACAGCAGCTCGCGCTGACTGCAGCTCCCGCTGACTGCAGCTCCCGCTGACAGCAGCTCCCGCTGACAGCAGCTCCCGCTGACAGCAGCTCGCGCTGACAGCAGCTCCCGCTGACTGCAGCTCCCGCTGACTGCAGCTCCCGCTGACAGCAGCTCCCGCTGACAGCAGCTCGCGCTGACAGCAGCTCCCGCTGACAGCAGCTCCCGCTGACAGCAGCTCCCGCTGACAGCAGCTCCCGCTGACTGCAGCTCCCGCTGACAGCAGCTCCCGCTGACTGCAGCTCCCGCTGACAGCAGCTCCCGCTGACAGCAGCTCGCGCTGACAGCAGCTCCCGCTGACAGCAGCTCGCGCTGACAGCAGCTCCCGCTGACAGCAGCTCGCGCTGACTGCAGCTCCCGCTGTCTGCAGCTCCCGCTGACTGCAGCTCCCGCTGACTGCAGCTCCCGCTGACAGCAGCTCCCGCTGACAGCAGCTCGCGCTCACAGCAGCTCGCGCTCACTTTAGCTCCCGCTGACAGCAGCTCGCGCTGACAGCAGCTCCCGCTGACAGCAGCTCGCGCTGACAGCAGCTCCCGCTGACAGCAGCTCGCGCTGACAGCAGCTCCCGCTGACTGCAGCTCCCGCTGACTGCAGCTCGCGCTGACAGCAGCTCGCGCTGACAGCAGCTCGCGCTGACAGCAGCTCCCGCTGACAGCAGCTCGCGCTGACTGCAGCTCCCGCTGACAGCAGCTCGCGCTGACTGCAGCTCCCGCTGACAGCAGCTCGCGCTGACTGCAGTTCCCGCTGACAGCAGCTCGCGCTGACTGCAGCTCCCGCTGACTGCAGCTCCCGCTGACTGCAGCTCCCGCTGACAGCAGCTCGCGCTGACAGCAGCTCCCGCTGACTGCAGCTCCCGCTGACAGCAGCTCCCGCTGACAGCAGCTCGCGCTGACAGCAGCTCCCGCTGACAGCAGCTCCCGCTGACAACAGCTCGCGCTGACAGCAGCTCGCGCTGACAGCAGCTCCCGCTGACAGCAGCTCCCGCTGACAGCAGCTCGCGCTGACAGCAGCTCCCGCTGACTGCAGCTCCCGCAGCTCGCGCTGACTGCAGCTCGCGCTGACTGCAGCTCCCGCTGACTGCAGATCCCGCTGACAGCAGCGCTGACTGCAGCTCCCGCTGACTGCAGCTCCCGCTGACAGCAGCTCCCGCTGACAGCAGCTCGCGCTGACAGCAGCTCCCGCTGACTGCAGCTCCCGCTGACTGCAGCTCCCGCTGACTGCAGCTCCCGCTGACAGCAGCTCCCGCTGACAGCAGCTCCCGCTGACAGCAGCTCCCGCTGACAGCAGCTCCCGCTGACAGCAGCTCCCGCTGACAGCAGCTCGCGCTGACAGCAGCTCGCGCTGACAGCAGCTCCCGCTGACAGCAGCTCGCGCTGACAGCAGCTCCCGCTGACAGCAGCTCCCGCTGACAGCAGCTCCCGCTGACAGCAGCTCGCGCTGACAGCAGCTCGCGCTGACAGCAGCTCCCGCTGACTGCAGCTCCCGCTGACTGCAGCTCCCGCTGACTGCAGCTCGCGCTGACTGCAGCTCGCGCTGACAGCAGCTCGCGCTGACAGCAGCTCGCGCTGACAGCAGCTCCCACTGACAGTAGCTCGAGTCTGCACACCCACACTGCTGTACCTTTGATATCTTTTTTTTTTTTTTAAACAATATTTTTATTGAATTTTAGTAAATATTTGCATAAAAAACAAAACAAAAAGACAACACACATACACAGAAATTGCCAGTCGAAGTTGGTACCAAATGACCACTAATAATAAAATCTGAAAAAAATAAATAAAACAAAAATAAATAACAAACTTATACAAAAATCAAAATACAAGTCACTTTTTTCCAAAAAATCAATCAAGGGTCTCCATACGTTTTCAAATTCCTCCCCTCTTCCTCTTGTAACATATGTAAGTCTTTCAAGTGCAATGCACAATGTCATTTCCTGTAGCCACAACTTTAAAGGAGGAACATTCACGTTTTTCCAAAATAAGGCAATAGTTCTTCTGGCCAGCAGAAGACCAAAGTCTATTAGAGTGGTTTTCTTTTTACTTACCATAAGGTGCTTAGGGTATATCCCTAAAATACAAAGTGTTGCACAATGAGGAACTTCAATTCCAACTATTGTGGAGACAGTTTGGATAACAGATTTCCAATATTTCTTAATTTTCCAACAGTCCCATAAACAATGAAAGAGAGTTCCTTTATCAGTAAAACATTTATTACAGTTATCAGGAATGTCAGGGGTCCACTGATGTAACTTCACAGGAGTCACATAGGTTCTCATTAGCCATTTATATTGTAATAACCTCATTCTAGTATTAATTGTTTGCTTTTGTGCTTTAAGACATGCATTTTCCCAATCGGCTACCTCAATATTTTCTTGAATGTCCATTTTCCATGCTTCTAGTCTGTCCCTACTAGATTCTGTATCATGTGACACCAGAGCTCTATAAAAAACAGAAATAAGCTTCTTTCCTTGCAAATTTGACATTACAATATTCTCTAGAAGTGACAATGGAGGTTCCATCATAAAGTTTTTAAACAATGATGACATAAAGTGTTTTAATTGTAAATATTTGAAGAAATGCTTACTAGGAATAGAAAACCTTTGAGAAATTTGCTCAAAAGTAAGCATTTCTCCATCCAAATATAGATCACCAATTGATTTTAGACCTTTGTCTGCCCATACTTTAAAGCCTCCGTCCGCTCTTCCAGGTTTTAACATGGTGTTGCCCCATATGGGAGAGAAGCGTGAGAGCGAAGGGGTGTCCCCAACATGTTTATGGGACCTATACCAGATATCAATTGTGTTCTTCAGAAATGGATTATTGGTCTGTTTTTTAAGTACTTTAAAGTCAGCTGAGTATAAATAATGTTTTAGCAAAAAATTTGTACTGATTCCTGTTCAATAATTACCCAAGCGGGTAGTGTTTGTGTTGAAAAATAATACATAGCCGAACGCAACTGAGCTGACCAATAATACCACTTAAAGTTGGGTAGTTGTAACCCTCCAGTTTCATAGGGCATGTAAAGCAGCCTCAGTCTCAATCTGGCTTTCTTATTATTCCAAACAAAGTTCACAAGCATTCTATTAAGTTTGGTAAAGAAGCTGTTGTATAATGAAAGTGGTATAGTTTGAAATAAATATAAAAATTTTGGCAAGATGCTCATTTTAATTATATTTATGCGACCCATCATTGAGATAGGAAGAGTCATCCATCTATCCAGTGATTGCTGAACTTCAGACATTAAAGGATCAAAATTTGCTTGAACTATATTTTTTATATCAGGGGTAATCCTGACACCCAAGTAAGTGAATCCCTCTTGCGCATTTAAGAAAGGGGTGGTGACTGCAGGATTCAGTCTTTCCTCATCATTTAAGAATAAAATCGAAGACTTAGAATCATTAATGACATAACCAGAGAATTGGCCAAATGTGTTAATTTGCTTCGTCAGATTTGGAAGACTTGTGGTTAGATTAGACAAAAAAAGGATAACATCATCAGCATAGAGTGAGATCTTATGCTCATAATCTCCAATGCGTATGCCTGACAAACCTCTGTCAGCACGGATTGAAAGAGCCAGGGGTTCTATAGCTAAAATAAAAAGCATTGGTGAAAGGGGACAGCCCTGGCGCGTGGATCTTTCCAGTATAATTGGTTTAGAGGAAGTGCTGTTAGTAACAATACTGGCAGTAGGACTTGTATACAAGATTTTTAGCCATTTGAGAAAGTTATTTCCAAATCCAAACCGAGGCAGAACATTGAATAAAAATGGCCATTCAATTCTGTCAAAAGCTTGGCGAGCATCTAATGAAAGCAATGCCATATCCTTTGACCCTGCCTTTTCACTGACTATGTTCAAAACCCTTCTAATATTGTGAAATCCCTGGCGGTTTTTTACAAATCCATTTTGATCATTGTGTATTAAATTGGGAATATAATTATCTAAACGTAAAGCGAGAGCCTTGCATAGTATTTTTGTGTCACAGCCCATCAAACTTATTGGCCTGTATGAGGAACACTCTGTTGGAGGTTTATTAGGTTTTAAGATCAAAGTGATCACAGCAAGTCTTAATGTAGGTGGTAGGGTTCCTTCATTGAATGCCTCTTGATACATATCCATTAACGGAGTTATCAACTGTTTCTGAAATGCCTTATAAAACTCTATAGTCAATCCATCAGGTCCAGGAGCTTTATTAGTATTAATACTATTAATAGCCGCAGAGATTTCTTCTACTGTCAAATTACTATCCAAGTCTAATTTAGCATCTTCTGACAGAACCGGAAAGTCAAGAACATTGAGAAAAACATCTCTCCCATGCGATGTTGGGGGAATCTCAGATTTGTATAAGCGCTCATAAAATTCTCTAAAACTATTATTAATCTCTTGAGGGTCAAAAGTCAAATTTCCATCCATCATTTTAATACAATTAATTGCCCGTTCTGTCTGTAATTTCTTTATTCTCCACGCCAAAAGCTTCCCTGCCTTTTCTCCTTGATCATAATAGTTTTGCCTTAACCATAGTAAGCTGTTTACGGCTTTATCTGTTGACAACTTGTTATACTTAGACCTTAAAAGAAGCAGTTGTTCTTGTTTACTTAAATCATCTTTCTGATCCAAGTCATTCTCAAGCTTTTTTATTTGTTTCTCCAAATCAAATAGTTGTGCTTTTTGTTGTTTAGATTCATTGGATGTATAGCTGATAATCTCACCTCTAATGTAGGCCTTAAAAGCTTCCCATCTTGTACAAGCTCCAGTTTGATCTGTATTTAATTCAAAATACAGATCAATTCTATTTTCTATAAATGAAACGAAGTCTTCATTTTGCAGCCAAACAGGTTTAAAACGCCAATTAGAGGGGCAGTGGAAAAGTTTGTCTAAATGAATACTCATAGATAATGGGGCATGATCACTGATTACAATGCTGTCGTACCAACAGCCTTTCACTTTAGACAATAGGTTTTGAGAGACAAAGAAAAAATCAATACGTGATCGTGACTTTTGGAAACATGAAAAACATGAAAATTCCAATTTAGTCGGGTTTAAATGCCTCCAAATTTCAACTAGATTTAAATCCTCACTATATTGTTTTAAAACTCTCCTTGTTTTTGGCTTACTTGGGTCAGAACCTGTAGTACGGTCTAATAAAGGATTTAAGGTGCAATTAAAGTCCCCACCAATGATAAAGGATCCTTGTAAAGTTGATAGGGTGAAGAAAAGGTTTTCAAAAAATTTGGGATTGTCCTCATTCGGACCATATACACAACCCAGGTTTAATGTAAGAGAAAAAATAGTACCCCGGACAATGACATAGCGTCCTGTTGGATCCTGGATGATTTTAGTGACCTGAAATGGTATAGTTCTATGAATTAAAATTATAACACCACGTGAATAATTATTATATGTTGCATACATCACATGCCCACGCCATCTGTTTTTGATCCTCTTAATCTCTGAATCAGTCAAATGACTCTCCTGAATAAAAACAATTTTGGAATTTAATAATTTAATTCTATTCATGACCTGTTTTAATTTAGTAATTTTTTTAAGACCCCTGACATTCCAGGTAGTGAATTTTAGATCAACAATTTTGGATTTTTTGTTTTCCATATGTATACAAAAATTACAATAAGTAAAGTGGCCTGGCTTAAAGTGATATCTGTGTGCTCTGAACACATGAACATTAACACAACAAAACAAACGTCCACAAACATGAAAACAGAAATCTTCCCCATCCCTTACTCAAAACAAGAAAATGTAAGGAGGCTAATACCAATCCACTCGAGAGAGGAGTGGTTAAACTATACAAGCAGAAACAAAAGAAATGGGCAGCATCCGCTCAACTCGCATTACAGTGTAAAAAATTGATAGTTTCAACAAAAGTTGTCCACCAGAGACAGGTAGTGAAATATATTTTGAAAACAATAAATAAAATTATGATAATAAGGAAAAGATTTATGAAAAAATGATTTTCAAGTAATAATGAACACTTCACGTTTCCAAGATACTACAAATGTTTGGAAGAATACAAAAATAAAATAAAAAATAAATTATTTAGAAAATTTGTAACAAAACACGTGAAAAATACAAAAAAATAAATAACATCATGAAAAAAAAATAATTATAATCTTAATAACTCTGAAAAAGTTAGATTAAAGGCAAAATAGTGGAAAGTCTGTTATCTCCATTGAATTATTGCAAGTCTTTCAAGTAAACAAACCTCACCACCACATTCAGATGATTTTCTGATAGAACTCCTCTGCTTCTCGAGGCGTCGCAAACAGCTGCATTTTGCTCTCGTGCAGGACTCTCATTCTGCATGGGTGAATCTGGAATCCACGATAGAGCCCCTTCTCCACAAACTTCTGCCTTACTGCGTTAAACTCGTTACGTTGGCGCAGAGTCTCCGTTGATAGATCCGGGACAAACAGCAGCTTGTTTCCTTCATGTTGGATGTTGAGTTTCTTTGCAGTGTTTATGACAAACTCCCTGTCTTGAAACTTCAGAAAGCGGATGATCACCCCTCTGTTTTGGCCCGGTTTAGGTTTTGACAGTGTGCGATGTGCGCGCTCGAGAGTGAAAGTCTTATCGTGGCAGCCCAACCATCTCGGCAAAAGTTGTTCCACGTATTCCAACAAGGGCTGGTTATTTTCGGCTCTTTCACGTAAACCAAATAGGCGGAGATTCTTGCGGCGGCCCCGGTTTTCTAACTCGTCAGTCTTTGATTCCAAAGTGGAGATGCGTTTTATAGCGCTAGCTAAGTCAGCTTTAGCCACTTCCAGATCATCTTCGAGGGTTGATATGCGCTCTTCAGCCTCAGTGACACGTGTTTTATTAGATTCAACCGTGTTCCTCACCTCAACCATACTCTGCTCCAATGCGCTGATTGAGTTGTTCATATCTCCCAGATGCGAGTTAGTAGTATCAAGCTTGCAACCAAAATCAGCTCGGAGAGCCCTTAGCTCCGTTAGCACATTAGCTATATCTGCCATGCTCTCCGTAGCTTTCTCGTGCTCGTCCTCGCGTTGCGGACACACTCTTGGTTTTGACGACGCTCGTGTCACGATAGAAATGAAGCTCTTCGCGAAAGTTCACTGTGGTAGACCTGGCCACTGCTGCCAGATCTACAAGCCTGCTCATCCTCTACTCATTACACCAGCAAAACGCCCACATCTAATCCACCAATAACCACCAGGACAGCAAGTTAAAAGCCGGAGACGCCCACTTTCCGGTCTTCTGAAGTTTGCAAAGCCTCCGCCGCCCCACCTCCTCCTTCTCTCATCGAAGCGTGCTTGCCTGCTGCCTCTGCCGTCACCAGTGCCTAGGCCCCGGGGGGGATCATGCACGCGAGCAAGCGCCGCACTCATCAGCATCTCTCCCGGGCCTAGGGCGCCAAACATACTCAATCAACAAACTTCTAACTGCATTTTCCCTCTTGGGTCTCTCCAAAGTGAACTGTGGCTGCTGGTGTTTGCTGTTGTCTCTGTCATAATCCAATGTCGGGTTGACACTTTTACTGTCTGTTATGAAAAGTGTTGAGAGTTGAGCGGAGCCTCGATGCTAAGCTGCCATCTTGTTTCGCTGCTCAATAGCGCCCCCGTACCTTTGATATCTTTAACCCACACTGCTGTACCTTTGATATCTTTAACCCACACTGCTGTACCTTTGATATCTTTAACCCACACTGCTGTACCTTTGATATCTTTAACCCACACTGCTGTACCTTTGATATCTTTAACCCACACTGCTGTACCTTTGATATCTTTAACCCACACTGCTGTACCTTTGATATCTTTAACCCACACTGCTGTACCTTTGATATCTTTAACCCTCACTGCTGTACCTTTGATATCTTTAACCCTCACTGCTGTACCTTTGATATCTTTAACCCTCACTGCTGTACCTTTGATATCTTTAACCCTCACTGCTGTACCTTTGATATCTTTAACCCACACTGCTGTACCTTTGATATCTTTAACCCTCACTGCTGTACCTTTGATATCTTTAACCCTCACTGCTGTACCTTTGATATCTTTAACCCTCACTGCTGTACCTTTGATATCTTTAACCCTCACTGCTGTACCTTTGATATATTTACACAATACTTCTGGGACTAAACCATTAAGACACTTAAAAATAGCTTTTAAAAAGGTAAAATTATAAAAGCTCATCATGTATTTTTGAGTAGTTTGGCAGTGATGTTATAGAGACGTGTCTATAACACGTGTCTATAACACGTGTCTATAACACGTGTCTATAACACGTGTCTATAACACGTGTTATAGTGAGTGAGGCTAAAGGCCTCACTCACTCGGGCTCGTTAATTACGTCACAGTAACCTCAGATCCAATGGTTTCTATTTGTAAAAGGTGATAGTGACCCATGTGTGATAGTGACCGTCTGTGGTGCAGGTGATAGTGACCCATGTGTGATAGTCACCGTCTGTGGTGCAGGTGATAGTGACCCATGTGTGATAGTGACCGTCTGTGGTGCAGGTGATAGTGACCCATGTGTGATAGTGACCGTCTGTGGTGCAGGTGATAGTGACCCATGTGTGATAGTGACCGTCTGTGGTGCAGGTGATAGTGACCCATGTGTGATAGTAACCCATGTGTGATAGTGACCCATGTGTGATAGTCACCCTCTGTGGTGCAGGTGATAGTGACCCATGTGTGATAGTGACCCTCTGTGGTGCAGGTCATAGTGACCCATGTGTGATAGTCACCCTCTGTGGTGCAGGTGATAGTGACCCATGTGTGATAGTGACCCTCTGTGGTGCAGGTGATAGTGACCCATGTGTGATAGTGACCCATGTGTGATAGTCACCCTCTGTGGTGCAGGTGATAGTGACCCATGTGTGATAGTGACCCATGTGTGATAGTGACCCATGTGTGATAGTGACCCATGTGTGATAGTGACCCATGTGTGATAGTGACCCATGTGTGATAGTCACCCATGTGTGATAGTCACCCTCTGTGGTGCAGGTGATAGTGACCCATGTGTGATAGTGACCCATGTGTGAAAGTGACCCTCTGTGGTGCAGGTGATAGTGACCCATGTGTGATAGTGACCCATGTGTGAAAGTGACCCTCTGTGGTGCAGGTGATAGTGACCCTCTGTGGTGCAGGTGATAGTGACCCATGTGTGATAGTGACCCTCTGTGGTGCAGGTCATAGTGACCCATGTGTGATAGTGACCCTCTCTGGTGCAGGTGATAGTGACCCATGTGTGATAGTGACCCTCTGTGGTGCAGGTGATAGTGACCCATGTGTGATAGTGACCCTCTGTGGTGCAGGTGATAGTGACCCATGTGTGATAGTGACCCTCTCTGGTGCAGGTTGCCCATGGAGCAGAGCAGAGCAGGACGTTCCCATGAAGAGGATCAGCGCCCACAAACTTCAGCCATGTGTCTTTGAACTCTGCAAGTTCTACTCCCAGTGTCTGTGCTTCAGGACCCAAGGGCGTGACAGGTGACCATAATATATACTCTGTAAGAGAGACAGGTGACCCTAATATATACTCTGTAAGAGAGACAGGTGACCCTAATATTTACTCTGTAAGAGAGACAGGTGACCCTAATATTTACTCTGTAAGAGAGACAGGTGACCCTAATATTTACTCTGTAAGAGAGACAGGTGACCCTAATATTTACTCTGTAAGAGAGACAGGTGACCGTAATATTTACTCTGTAAGAGAGACAGGTGACCCTAATATTTACTCTGTAAGAGAGACAGGTGACCCTAATATTTACTCTGTAAGAGAGACAGGTGACCCTAATATTTACTCTGTAAGAGAGACAGGTGACCCTGATATTTACTCTGTAAAGCCTAGAGTATACTTGCGCGGCGTGGCTTACGTTAGCGGTTGCGGTGGACCTACGTAAGCACAGTTGATGTTATACTGGCGCGTTCCCCTTACGGAGTTTTGAGGAGAATGTTGTAATCCCACAACAAACCACATGAGGGCGATCACACAGGAGCGGTCCCATTTACGCTGCTACTTTGTCCTCTTCAGAACAACAATAACAAACAAAGCTGTTTGAGCTCATTACACGTGTTTCTACTGTAGGTTTATGTGATAGTTTTATGGATTCATTATTTTATAAGTCATTTCAACTGTGACGCTGTGAATAAAGACACACTTCTGTTGGAAACATGGTTATTATTAAATAGTTTTCAGCACAAACAGCAAAACAATAACAGTGGTAAATATCTGAGACAAACATGAACGATTTACGAGTGCAGGAGGAAAGCAACAATATATATATATATATATATATATATATATATATGTTAGATATAATTTATATATATGTTAGATATAAGTTATACAGTATATATGTTAGATATAAGTTATATATATGTTAGATATAAGTTATATATATGTTAGATATAAGTTATATATATGTTAGATATAAGTTATATATATGTTAGATATAATTTATATATATGTTAGATATAAGTTATACAGTATATATGTTAGATATAAGTTATATATATGTTAGATATAAGTTATATATATGTTAGATATAAGTTATATATATGTTAGATAGTCCACAGTCTCCTGTATATCAGGCTCTTTTCCTTGGAAGCACAAAGCTCTCTGCTCCATAGAGCCTCGTCCATGCTCCTGCTGCAGCCGCTCCGTGCTTCCTTCCAATACACACACACGGACCAATCACAGCGGAGCTTCTCTCACACACGGACCAATCACAGCGGAGCTTCCTTGCGCGCGGCAGGCAACGTAAGTGCCTTGCGGTGACCGACGTGTTGCGCAAGTGACGTCACGTCACCTCCGTAAGCTCCGCGCGAGTATACACTAGGCTTAAAAGAGACAGGTGACCCTAATATTTACTCTGTAAGAGAGACAGGTGACCCTAATATTTACTCTGTAAGAGAGACAGGTGACCCTAATATTTACTCTGTAAGAGAGACAGGTGACCCTAATATTTACTCTGTAAGAGAGACAGGTGACCCTAATATTACTCTGTAAGAGAGACAGGTGACCCTGAATTTACTCTGTAGAGAGACAGGTGACCCTAATATTTACTCTGTAAGAGAGACAGGTGACCCTAATATTTACTCTGTAAGAGAGACAGGTGACCCTAATATTTACTCTGTAAGAGAGACAGGTGACCCTAATATTTACTCTGACCCAATTCTGGAGAGACAGTGACCAATATTACTCTGTAAGAGACAGGTGACCCTAATATTTACTCTGTAAGAGAGACAGGTGACCCTAATATTTACTCTGTAAGAGAGACAGGTGACCCTAATATATACTCTGTAAGAGAGACAGGTGACCCTGATATTTACTCTGTAAGAGAGACAGGTGACCCTAATATTTACTCTGTAAGAGAGACAGGTGACCCTAATATTTACTCTGTAAGAGAGACAGGTGACCCTAATATATACTCTGTAAGAGAGACAGGTGACCCTAATATATACTCTGTAAGAGAGACAGGTGACCCTAATATATACTCGTGTGTGTTTCTGTGTGTCTGTGTGTGTGTGTCTCTGGGTGTGTGTGTGTATGTGTGTGTCTGTGTGTGTGTGTGTGTGTGTTGTAGGTACTGCTCGGACAGTCAGGTGTGGTACCAGAGACACACTGTGGAGCTGTGTAGACGAGTGCGAAGACTGACCTTCTCCAGGAGTGAGTGCACACACACACACACACACACACACACACGCAGAGACACACACATACACAAACAGAGAGACACACTCACACACAGAGACACACACACACACACTCTGTGTCTCCTCACGGCCTCCTCCCGGTCTACTCTCGGTCTCCTTTTGGTCTCCTCACGGTCTCCTCCTGGTCTCCTCCCGGTCTCCTTTCGGTCTCCTCTCGGTCTCCTCTCGGTCTCCTCCCGGTCTCCTTTCGGTCTCCTCTCGGTCTCCTCTCGGTCTCCTCTCGATCTCCTCCCGATTTCCTCCCGGCCTCCTCCTGGTCTCTTCTCGGCCTCCTCCTGGTCTCCTCCCAGTCTCCTACCAATCTCCTCCCGGTCTCCTACCGGTCTCCTACCGGTCTCCTACTGGTCTCCTCCCGGTCTCCTACCGGTCTCCTACCGGTCTCCTACTGGTCTCCTACCGGTCTCCTCCCGATCTCCTCACGGTCAGAGGGTTCAGAGGGTTCTGTGTCTTTTGTGTTGACGAGAATCTTCTCCTGTGTCTCCTGCAGATCTCAAACAAAGATGTCTGTCAAAGATGTGCGAGCAGCTGTGACCATGAGTTCCTGTCCTCCTCCACCTCCCCCTTCTCCCCCACCTCCTCCACCTCCCCCTTCTCCCCCACCTCCCCCTTCTCCCCCACCTCCTCCACCTCCCCCTTCTCCCCCACCTCCTCCACCTCCCCCACCTCTCCCGCCTCAGTGCTCAGGCCCCACCCCCTGGAGGGTTGGACTCTCAGTAATCACACTGTTTTTTAATTCACAACAAATGAAAATGAGGCAAATGAGTTTTCACAGAGTCAGAGTTTTCACAGAGTCAGAGTTGTCACAGAGTCAGAGTTGTCACAGAGTCAGAGTTTTCACAGAGTCAGAGTTTTCACAGAGTCAGAGTTGTCACAGAGTCAGAGTTTTCACAGAGTCAGAGTTGTCACAGAGTCAGAGTTGTCACAGAGTCAGAGTTGTCACAGAGTCAGAGTTTTCACAGAGTCAGAGTTGTCACAGAGTCAGAGTTGTCACAGAGTCAGAGTTTTCACAGAGTCAGAGTTTTCACAGAGTCAGAGTTGTCACAGAGTCAGAGTTGTCACAGAGTCAGAGTTTTCACAGAGTCAGAGTTGTCACAGAGTCAGAGTTTTCACAGAGTCAGAGTTGTCACAGAGTCAGAGTTGTCACAGAGTCAGAGTTTTCACAGAGTCAGAGTTGTCACAGAGTCAGAGTTGTCACAGAGTCAGAGTTTTCACAGAGTCAGAGTTGTCACAGAGTCAGAGTTGTCACAGAGTCAGAGTTGTCACAGAGTCAGAGTTTTCACAGAGTCAGAGTTTTCACAGAGTCAGAGTTGTCACAGAGTCAGAGTTGTCACAGAGTCAGAGTTTTCACAGAGTCAGAGTTGTCACAGAGTCAGAGTTTTCACAGAGTCAGAGTTTTCACAGAGTCAGAGTTGTCACAGAGTCAGAGTTTTCACAGAGTCAGAGTTGTCACAGAGTCAGAGTTGTCACAGAGTCAGAGTTGTCACAGAGTCAGAGTTTTCACAGAGTCAGAGTTGTCACAGAGTCAGAGTTGTCACAGAGTCAGAGTTTCACAGAGTCAGAGTTTTCACAGAGTCAGAGTTGTCACAGAGTCAGAGTTGTCACAGAGTCAGAGTTTTCACAGAGTCAGAGTTTTCACAGAGTCAGAGTTTTCACAGAGTCAGAGTTTTCACAGAGTCAGAGTTGTCACAGAGTCAGAGTTTTCACAGAGTCAGAGTTTTCACAGAGTCAGAGTTGTCACAGAGTCAGAGTTGTCACAGAGTCAGAGTTTTCACAGAGTCAGAGTTGTCACAGAGTCAGAGTTGTCACAGAGTCAGAGTTGTCACAGAGTCAGAGTTTTCACAGAGTCAGAGTTTTCACAGAGTCAGAGTTTTCACAGAGTCAGAGTTGTCACAGAGTCAGAGTTTTCACAGAGTCAGAGTTTTCACAGAGTCAGAGTTGTCACAGAGTCAGAGTTGTCACAGAGTCAGAGTTTCACAGAGTCAGAGTTGTCCGAGTCACAGAGTCAGAGTCCGAGTCAGAGTTGTCACAGAGTCAGAGTTTTCACAGAGTCAGAGTTGTCACAGAGTCAGAGTTTCACAGAGTCAGAGTTGTCACAGAGTCAGAGTTGTCACAGAGTCAGAGTTGTCACAGAGTCAGAGAGTTGTCACACAGAGTCAGAGTTTCACAGAGTCAGAGTTTTCACAGAGTCAGAGTCAGAGTTGTCACAGAGTCAGAGTTGTCACAGAGTCAGAGTTTTCACAGAGTCAGAGTTGTCACAGAGTCAGAGTTTTCACAGAGTCAGAGTTGTCACAGAGTCAGAGTTTTCACAGAGTCAGAGTTTTCACAGAGTCAGAGTTGTCACAGAGTCAGAGTTGTCACAGAGTCAGAGTTTTCACAGAGTCAGGGTTGTCACAGAGTCAGAGTTTTCACAGAGTCAGAGTTGTCACAGAGTCAGAGTTGTCACAGAGTCAGAGTTTTCACAGAGTCAGAGTTTTCACAGAGTCAGGGTTGTCACAGAGTCAGAGTTGTCACAGAGTCAGAGTTGTCACAGAGTCAGAGTTGTCACAGAGTCAGAGTTTTCACAGAGTCAGAGTTTTCACAGAGTCAGAGTTTTCACAGAGTCAGAGTTTTCACAGAGTCAGAGTTGTCACAGAGTCAGAGTTGTCACAGAGTCAGAGTTTTCACAGAGTCAGAGTTTTCACAGAGTCAGGGTTGTCACAGAGTCAGAGTTGTCACAGAGTCAGAGTTTTCACAGAGTCAGAGTTTTCACAGAGTCAGAGTTGTCACAGAGTCAGAGTTGTCACAGAGTCAGAGTTTTCACAGAGTCAGAGTTTTCACA